TCAGGCTTGAAACCTCTTAATAAAGTGATTAAAGTAACCGAGTGACTTACGCATAACTTTGTTAACCGACAGGATCTTGTAGTTCGAACATATTCGAATATGCAAATGAGTTCTATGAAAAGCTGCTTTGTGCAGTGATGATAAGTAACGCGCATCGAACTGTGCAGAGTTCGCACAAACCTGTGTCATATGACGCCTTACTAGCCGATTTTGGCTAAAATAGCGCTCCGCCGCCTCTTTACACTAGTGTTTATACACGGAACTTTTTTTCCAATTTAAGTTGCTTTTTAATCCCATATTTTAGTGAAATATTGTTTAGTGAGTGAAATATTAATGTCATAAATAATTAAATCGTGGAAATAACAGAAACCAAGACATGATAACGATAATCAAATTTGTGTTTGAAGTTCGAAAGTACTTGCGTAATTTCCGGTTTCAACTAGTTCGAAAATAGAACGTCCTTTAACGCGATAAAATCACGCGTAGAACTTCTTCCGAACCAGACACTAGCAGCCGTAAACTCATTGCAAATTTGCGCAATGTTGGGGCCAGTTTGTCCTTACAATATTTCTAAGTTTCATTTATCATTATTTAGTAAACAGGCCCCTGAAACGATTTAATTTATCCGTAAAATACGTGGCAATCGACGATTGACTTCGAAACGTTCGAAATTTCGAACAAACTCCCGGCACACCTTGCGCGATATGCGTCAGATCTGTTTAGAAGACGCCGACCTGCGCGTCAATGCAATGACACGCTATGGTTATCTGACGCATGCGCAGGTGACAACTCCCCCGCTTTAATAACGAGGCGTGCATATGGCGCAAAGCGCGCGACGCCACGCCACGCCACGCCACGCAACGCGATGTGACATGACTTGACGTTGCAATGGTAATGCAGGAGGTTCTAATAAAATAATTCAATGAGACATATTACTAATGCAATATGACATTGCAATCTCTTTAGTGAAATTATACATGGACTTTTTAATCTGTTAACATGTGTGCGTGTTTTTCTGTTTCAGTTGTCGGCCATGATTGTCCGAACGGTTGGACGCTGTACAACGACCATTGTTATAAACTGCGTAATTTAATCAAACAGTCCTGGCAGAATGCCCAGACCATGTGTACATACGATGCTGCCAATCTATGTAGCGTGGCAGATGACTTGGAAAACTATTTTATGGCAGGTTAGTCTTAGACTTTTATATAAGAAAAAATACAATTACGCCACAGTTTTGTCCAAAGGCACGCCTTTCAGTATTGTGATATTTTAACCATAAGGACAGGGTTTTAAAGTTGTTAGTAAAACAGTGAGTTATATCGTAATGTTTCGTGACCATATGGATTTTCAGCTACAAGAGCTAATCTCAGTAAAAAAAAAAAAAAAGTATTTACTGTAACTGCGTATGTTCTTCGTCAATGTTACTGTATAAATGCCGGAACGTGTTGTCCTTACATCATCGTTACTCTAATACGTGTTCTCTTCTTCGTCATTGTCACAGTAATACGTGTTCTCTTCTTCGTCATTGTCACAGTAATACGTGTTCTCTTCTTCGTCATTGTCACAGTAATACGTGTTCTCTTCTTCGTCATTGTCACAGTAATACGTGTTGTTTTCTTTATATAGATGCCTTTGGTGCCTTTGGAGAAGACAGTGACTGTGCGTGGATTGGCCTACAGGATTTTTCAACTAGTCAACGCTCCTACGAATGGGTTGATGGTTTAAACTCTACGTATTTAGGGTATATATAATAACACGATATCACCGTCGTTACAATTACAAAACGATTATATATTATATAACACTTACAGATACTCAATCGTCACATTATATCTCTAAAATGTACAAAATATCCCCTTTTCATCATAATCATTCTCCAACACCGTTCCTTTTTCGAAAAATTGTTTGGCGACCTCTTTATTTTCATTGTCGGCATCCGAATAGCATTAACCGATGCTTAAATCGGGGGAGTCGTCACCTGCGCATGCATGCGTAAGATGGCCATAGCGTGTCATTGTTTACAAACAAGCGTCTATTCATGAGCCTTTGCGTTTTTAGTGTGTGTTGTTATTGTCGCTCGGGACTAAATTCCCGCGCGTGCGCAGGTGACGACCCACCCGCTTTAAGAATGCATGAAGAAAATGACATATATACTTTAATTCGTCTCGAACGTATTTAAGTCTAAGCCAAACTGGCGACTGGATTAGAGAAAGCTACCTCGAGGCAGATGGGTCTTGTCTTGGTGAAATAGTATCCTTAGGGCATTGGCTTTGCAATAAAGTTCTGAAAATCTACATAAGTATAGCCGCGATTTAACACGTAATAAATAATATCTATGTTTGTGTCCTGACACATCATATCTGCGTTGCACGCCGGAGTACACCATAGCTGAAGTTCTATAGCCCCGGCGCTTGGTTTTGGGTTATTTCAGGTTTCGAGTTAACACCACGACGAACGAAGTAGCACGCAGCGAAAGCAAGAAACTGCTAAGTATTATTCACATCCAGGTTAACAGAAAGCACGCCAACGCCACCAACGATCAAAGTTGTCACATGCATCTTATAAATAATCACTGTCTGTGTCACTGGCTGTGTGAGAAGTCTTATTGAGACTTTCTGTTGTTTTTTTTCTTTCTAGATTTTCATACGACTACTATGAAGACTATGCCCTCTACGCCTGTACTGTCATATGCTTTTCTGACGGCTACTGGCACAAACGAGCCTGTGGTAGCCGGCAAAAATACATTTGTAAGAAACGAATAGGTGAGCGAAAGTACATTTTATTCATATTCCCATATGTCACCGCACGCATGCGTACTGTAAAAGACAGGTTGCTACTCCTCTCGAAATAAGCGAGGCTTGGTGGTTACAACCACAGTCAGCTGGCGCACACGTGATAATAAAATAAATGCGATATTTACTATGGGGGGCGTCATCTTGAATACGGCATACAACTAAATAAGAGACAAGTTGTGAAACGCTTTTTTCAGATTCTTGCAAATCAGACAAAAAAAGAAAGAACTTCCACAGCCAAACGATCCGCTGGGGGTAATATTAAGCCAACCGCTAACGAAATTCGGCCGAATTCGTCGTTTGTGTGTGAAAAAATACTAACACCTAATTAGATGAAGAACATATAACACTTTCCTGGGTTATTTAAAACCAAAAACTGTCACTCCAGGGTTTCAAATACCCCGGGAAACTATTCTATGTTCTTCGTGTAATTAGTTGTTCGTATACTAGAAACTCTTTGTGGTCGTCACCCTGTTCGCTGTAGTAAAATTAACAGTAATTTATTGCATAACATGAACAATTCTATCATTGTTAGCAACAAATATATACGTAACAAAACTAAAATGAACTACGCCACTCCCACCCCACCAGGTAGAAGCAAACACAAAACAAACTTGTTCCCATATAGCTCACTTATGTAGTCATTAATGTTTTGATTTATATGTACATGTAATGGTTTCGCATGTTTTTTATGTGGTCAGTGTATTTGGCTTAGAGCCCATGTATGAATACCCCCCCCCCCGCCATTTGTTCACGTTGTGTATCTGTTTATTTTGCAGACGGCACTACTGTACGACACACTGTGCCCCAAACTGCCGATTTCTCTAACGGGCTGGAATTTGTTGCCATAGCAACTGTGGTCATAATGATTCTCATCTTCATTGCACTCGTGTGGTCTTTTATTATTTTAAATGCGAAGTCGTGTAAGAAATATCGTTCCAAGGGAGACATTTTAATACCGTCGTACAGTCGAGTCAAAGAGCACCCAATGGGTACGGGGGTGGTTCATGATCTCCCTAGCGTCTCGGATTCATCGGATTCCAAGTACGGGGATGAGGAGTATGTGAACGGGGCTTGTGCCACTGCGCATGACGGGCCAGAGTCCTTACCGACAGTTGCCATGGCTGTAAGCAAGATGACCAATACTGGTACCGACAATTCCGTAGATCTGAAAACCATATCAGCTGCGACTTTACAAAGCGTTAGCGATGAGGATTTGTTGACGCCGGGAAGGCGACATTTGTCGTCCAAACAGAGACTGTCACCCGGCACGATTGAACTTAGACCCCTTGGTGGCGCTATGAATACGTACAGACGACTGCCATTGGCGACATCGACATCGTCCTGGGAGACTACAGAGTCGCCGTTATCTTTAGACTATTCTCCAAGTGACGATTTGAAAGATGGTTCAGAATCAAAACATGGAGTATTCTTTGTATGAAAGGAATATTTTTATTAAAAACATATTTCCATTAATATCTAATTCTAAGGTTATTTGTAATATATAGATATATTTTCATGTAAACAGTGTAAAACATGTTAAAATGGTTGTCAACTTTCACTTTCCTACAACTTATCACACTGCCCGACAATCGTAGTCTCGTCCATAATTTCAACCACTGATTTAGTGATTGGCAAAACCGGACTTCACCATTTTATTCCATGTACATGGAATAATTCCTTTGTACTCAAGAGTTACCCTCATTATCATATAAAAGTATTTGGGTACTCTAACAAGATAAGCTTGTATCTTTCAAATTTGTGTTGTACCGTTTATGTTCAGATGGTCACTTTGAGTGATATATTTTTGGAAAAAAGTTTTTTTTTGCCAGTGAATTGTTCAAAATTTGAATTTGTATATAATAAAGATTTCTTTTATTGTCCATACAGTATTGTGCGATGGGATAACACATGACTTCACATACATACCTTCCAAGAGTCGACGTCTTACGTCACACACATCGTGCAATGAGATTTACACATGGCGTCGACCCACCAACCACATATCGTTCGTAGTCAAACATAAGTAGAACATGGCACTAATTGGGAACTAACTGGTGTGACCAGGCTCTGGAAACTGATGGAAGACAACAAAGTGCATTGCATAAGAAATTATTTAAAGCGGGAGGGTAGTCACCTGCGCACGCGCGGGAATTGAGTCCCACGCGATGATAACAACACACGCTAAGAACGCAAAGGCTCATGGGTAGACGCTTGTTTGTAAACAATGACACGCCATGGCCAACCATGGAAGGTACTAACATTAGTACCTTCCGTGGGTTAGCTGACGCACGCGCAGGTGACGTCACCCCCGTTTCAATGCCACACACGTGGAGGCTGATCACTGGGTTGATGATGTCCCAAATCTATAATAGTAAAAACTATTCAGTGCATGTTGACAAACGGCACGTACACCCGAGCATAAAACACCTCGACATACCAGTTGTGAATCTATACAGGAGACTGAATGAACATTTCGAAATTATATTCATCCGCGCATGGAGCTCCATGATCCGCGTTAGTGATTTACAGTTGTTGTGATTGACTGAACGGATTTCAACTGTCTTGCTAATTTTTCTCTGGGGTATATGTTTTGATTGCACGGTGATTGCATTATTGCTACATCGATATGCAGCACAGGTCCGCTCTATGTATATCCCAAGTTCATTCTGAAAGCTGAAGACCATGAATTGACCGAGATGTTCGGTTGTCTTGTCAACAATTATTAGCAGTATACGAAGATGGTACTACCAGTTTCTCCCTGCATTGATGCTACATAGAGAAAGCAGGGAGCTGAATAAGAGATGATTGAGAAGTCCATGTTCTCTTAAAACGACTTCTACAATGAAGAGTGCACCCTCGCAGTGTCGCCGTACCCGTCTACTACACGACAATTGTGCTGTAAAAGACTAATTCACACCATACTGCAAGCCATCGAGATAAATGATCTGGTGTGTGTGTGTAGACATGGAAGAAGATGGTTTGTAGCATGGTGTAATGTGTGGTTTCTTTTAAAGCACAGCATTTTGGGGGTGGTGACATGATGGGTCAAGGTTTGCATTAAGGTGGATGCAACACAACCTTTGAATATAATAACAATAACACAGAAGGCGAGTTATGTGGATGAAATGTGGGTACGATCTTTGCTACGGATTTGTATGCCTGGTAGTAACATGTCATATCATCAATGGAAAGTTTTATACAGTCAATTGCAATGATCTCCCCAGTCACGATCTTTAGTCATATCTGAAACTGTTGCCTACATCTTCAACATCGCTTTCCCACTCACAGGTGTTTTTTCTCTATATGGTAAAACATAGTAATTCCATCACAGGTGTAGTTATTGCACTTCTGCTTTTCATAATCAGCTTGAGTTTGTCTCCTACAACTATGGTTATTAATGAGGTATTTGGTCCATGGTGATGTACACCCACGGGCATTCTCTGTCACAATCAGTGGTAGAATTATGTTGCAGCAGTGGACATTTGGTGAGTTTCATCCACATTAGCATTCAGATTCTGGACAAGTCTTCCGGAGATGTCATAAGGTCTCTACTGTTTATTGACCCAAGTGAGCTTATAATGGCGGTTGCATCCTGCTGTCTGGCCATTTAGGCTATAGAAGGAGATATGTCTGTGAGTGCACTCAGAAAGGTTTTTACTTCAGTATGGGGGCTCATCATGAATGCATGATCAGCGTATCAGTACTTTAGCAAAACAACACTGACATACAGTATGTCTTTTAACCAAGATGGTTTATCAACTCAGTTATATTTAAGCATAACGTCTTCTGGATCGCTCCCTCTACTTTTTACACCACAAGGGACAATGATGCCTTGTACTCGTTCAACTCATAGTCGAGACACAATACTCAAAATTTGCCATTTGAAAAAAATATTAACTGTTGTTTTATAAGACGGGGCTTTATGCTTTTGATATAGATGTAAATGAATTTCAACACAGTGTCTATATATCATGCATTCAATTTACTTTTGGTACAATATAAACAAGAAGCAAAAGCTCCACTATTAAGATGTGCAGGAATTAGCAGGTTAACTAAATATTACCGCTTTAACCACCATTTAAGGCAGTCACCTTTTGAAAGATCGCCAGGCTAGTATGCTTGGGATTGGCTAGTTTCAAAATGCTAGTTGAGTTTGACCCTTTTAAAGTAACCCAATGTGTGGCCACCCCTAAACAAAGGGTGGGCAAGGGGGTAGCTGGTACAGTTTTACGGGAAATAAAAAGGGTTTTTTACAATTTACCAAGAAAAAAAAGACGTTTTTACAGTTTACATTGAATGGTCCGAAGAGCTCTCCGACTCTCCGTGTGTAGAGACGCATAGCATATTACCCTTGTAATGCTCTTCATTCGAGGGCCTTTTACGTCTTGACATTCAATTTTGCAGTGAATTGTGTCATCTAGTCGTTTTACAGTTTCTATAATGTAATTTCCCTGGATTATTCTTTACGATTTTTTATTTGGATGTAAATTCTTGTACGTACCGAGAAACAGGACACATTTTTACAGTGTACGAAAACAATATTTGATTGATTACGTTGTACATCTAGCCTGTGATTACAGAATTACGGAATTTATTTTTTCAATTTACGTTGTACGAACCAAAAAATATTGCAATTACGTTGAACGAAAATAACCCTTGCCCCCCCCTAAACAAGCTCACTAAAAATCTAATGCACTGTGACCTGGTAGTCCCTGTTATGTCAATGGACAGCCCAAGTTTGATTACTAGTCTTGTGAGGGACAATATGGACTTCAGTAAGAAGATCATCCGCAATATCACTAGCTTGCTTGCAACCCCTCTAAGGCAGACTTGATGGTTTGCCCAGAGGAAGCGTAACTGGCCGAGCAATAACTTCCATAACTTTGAAGTAACATTCTGTGTACAGCTTTTGTAGGTTTACAATAGGGCTGGGTGAAGAGCCATGGTAGACCCTAAACACGTGTTTGTTATTCATCAGCACAAAGATCTATTAAGATGGTATTGTCTGGCACCAAGCTCAGCTGGAGAAAATTCGAAAACTTCAAACGCAAGATGAGTGAGTAATTTTGTGAGAAAACTATCAGTAATAGCTTATTTAAGTCCATGTATGTCCCATGACGCAATCTTTAATTGCTGTTTATGACTATTCATAAAGTTTGGAAGTAGTGTGGTTGGAAGAAAGATACCGGTTATATGTTTGTGACCATGTAACGGTTCTGCAGAACAATGCATATCACGCTGGTACCAATTTGGCATTTGCATTTGTTATAATCCTTGATTTCCATGATCCTGGGTATTCTCATTGTTTTCAGGCTTGAAAGCCCATTGTTATTGCTTTATTGCTACCAATTCGTGATTAGTTAAAACATTGAAGTGCTCAATCGCACCACGTTTTTGAAAAACATTCAAACAACTAGTTTATAGCTACTTGTTCAATCGACGTGACATTTGATATATGGCATCTTCAGGGGAATCTTTCCAAAGTGACTTTTTAAATCTTTGATTTTGTAATTAACATAAATTGACCAATTATCCATAATCCTATGATGTTACATTTGGCATGTTGCATCGACTCTACTAGCGCAGTCTACCCTGTGAAAATTGTGTTTAAAGGTTGTGTAGTTTGGCTGCCATATTCGTTTTTGTGGAAAATTGAAATTGCTTATTTTTGATTTGAATTTTGTTTTGATGTCATTTGCATATTTGTTATTGAAGAAAAATTCTAAAACAGTATCTTTTTCTCCACATAACCCAGTCGTTCTATTGAATAGTAATACATATTACATTAATAGGAAGTGTTCATTCCAAATTTGCGTTTTTAATTGGAATTTCTTTTAATCACATGTATTAGCTTTCAATAAAGTTGGTGATTGGAGTTGCTCATTAATATGTATATCTGCAATATCCCTAGCAGTGTATCAGATAGAAACATGCAATCACTGCTATATTGCAGGCATTATACATTTCATATGACTAACATAACATTTTAGATGACCACATATTTTATGTTAACTCATTATTATGCATACCTGTAATACTTTCAGCACTTTTGCAGATAAGGACACACAATCAGTGCTATAATGATGGCATCAGGCAAAAGATACGACTAATTAATATGCATAATGATCATGAAACTAGTGCCATAGTGATGATAGTGGACAAGAAACATGACTAACATATCGGATAACAATTTATGATCATGTAACCTAATTAATATGACAATATGACAAGTGTCATAATGTGTGCGCAACATGATGACCTTTTCTCCCAAATACTGATGACAATCAGACAATATATACATATTTGGTTTTGATAGCTCACTTAATAAATAAATACAAGCCAAATCATTTATGATCATCATCAGTGCAAATTGCATAAACATTCCACTTGCCTATTGATGCCTTCGCTATTCAAACTTGGAGTTTCATTCTTGGCAAA